CCTCAGACAGTGAAAATAGGCCCTTATTGCTCCTCCACCTGCACCCTGCGCGCTGAGACCTCTACTCTACACACTCTACACACACAGCTGCTCTCCCATTCACCCCTCCAACTCCATTATAAAATGTGCAGATGACACCACTGTGGTCGGTCAAATATATAAGGGAGAGTCTCGTCTCTGGATGCCGACTCCTGAAGCTGTCTGTGTGGTGTTCAGCTAACAACCTACATCTGAACACAAGCAAAACAAAAGGAATCATCATAGACATCAGAAAGCGCCGTCCAGAACACGCCCCCCTTCACCTCAATGGAGAGAGAGTGGAGAGGGCCTCCACCTTTAAGTTCCTGGGGTTCACATTTCGGAGAGCCTCAGCTGGACAGCACACACCACTGCAGCAGTTAAGAAGGCCCAGCAGCGACTACACTTCCTGAGGGTGCTTCTGAGAAACCGACTGAACAAGAAGCTGCTGGTGTCCTTCTACCGGGCGACCATCGAGAGCGTGCTGTCATACTCCATCTCTCTGGCTGTTCAGCTGCGGACAAGAAAGCCCTGCAGAGAGTGATTAGGATGGCTGAGAAAACCGTCGGCTGCACCCTGCCCTCTCTGGAACACATCTCCACCTCCCACTGCCTCAGCAGAGCAAATAAAATAATAAAGGACAGCTCTCACCCAGGTCACAGACTGTTCTCTCTCCTGCCTTCTGGGAGGAGATATAGGAGCTTCAAGTCACGGACAAACAGACTAAAAAACAGACCCCTGGGCGGTCAGGCTGCTTAACCACCACACCTAATGCAATAACCGTAACCATCTCCATACACATTTTTAATGCACTTTACAAATTATAAACCATTTTTATATCAATATTTTTAACTATGTATTTCCCCCATATGATTGCTTATGTTGTCTGTCCTACTGCCATGTTTTTTATGTTATGTATGTCTAGTTTTTGCACACTGGGACAGAGTTGCACTCTGAATCTCGTTGTACTTTTTGTATAATGACAATGAAAGGCTTTAACTTTATTATTTTCATCAGGATTATTTGTTGTTTATTCATTTACTATACCAAATGTCCAACTCATGCAATTAGAGTAAAGTCAAGTATTATCTATAGCACTGAGATATAAATGCACACAGGCCAGCATCAATCCCAGGATGGGCACATACTTTGGTCTCTCTCTGAAAATCACGAGGCCTGTAAACAAAGCTGAGAGACAGCATGGGTTAGCTGCACTCGGTTTTGTTTATTTTTTTATATGTATGGGCAGATAATCATGAGGCCGTAAGGTACTCTGTTTCTGAAGACCTCTCACACTTTGCTCTCTACCTGTGGGGCCGGGGTTGAAGTCTGCAGCCGTCTTAAGCGCCGTCCCTTTAAGGCGCAGACTCCGTCTTCATCATCAGCAGCAGCAGTGTCATCAGCAGTGTCATCAGAAGTGTCATCCTCAGAGATGGAGATGACATCAGGGCCGGAGTCAATCACGATGACCTCCTCTATTAATGATGTTAATGACCTCTGAACCTTAGGGTTACTTTTACCCTTTTTCTGTTTATCAGGTTTCTTGTCCTTCTTCTTGTCCTTCTTCTTGTGCTGTAGTAACTTGCTCAAATCAGGTGACAGCGGCCTACTTTTTCCAGTTTCGTCCTGTTCTCTGTCCACATTTACAATCTGCTCAGGTTTCTCCAGATGCTCACTGTCCTGTTCCCCCTCCTCATGTCCTGTCTCCTCCACCACCCCGGCATTAGAGGAGTAGTGGAGCTGGCTGTAGAGGCGGAACTCCAGCTCGCTGTTGTCCTCTGACCTCTCAGAGTCCCCTTCATCCTCCCGATAGAGATCGTCCTCCAACTCCTCCCGATCCTGGTACATGAAGTACATCTCCCCAATCACACTCTATCCACACACACATGCACACACCTTATGGACACTCACACCAGGGGAGATGGTGATCTCAGGGGCCGAAACTGCCTGCAGGATAAAAACACATAAAGATGAGTTATTATACTGAAGGCATCAAATGTCTGTATCATCACACTGTATTCATTTTGCATCTACTAATACCGACTCAGGATATCCATTTAATATATCATCACCAAGATAATTTGTTAATTATTTTCCTGTATGAAAAGTCCACCTCATGCGATAACAGTCATGTGAACTATTATCTATAGCACTGGGGAATAAGATAACACCGGCCAGCATCGATCTTAGGATGGGTAGATTCTTTGGTCCTGTCATGAAGTCCATTGGGGCTTGTTAACAAAGCTGAGAGAGAGCATGGATCAGCTGCACTCAGTTATATTTTTTTACTATTTTATCAGAGCTTTGGTGCTTAGACCACTTTAAAAAAACATCATCTTTGGCCTACTTTTAATGATTATGTTGGAAACTTTGAAATTACACACTGTGTAGCTAATTTTCCCACTCTCACTCTTTCTCTCTAGCCCTCTCTCACACACACACATAGAGACACACACAGGACAGAGTAGGGGCACCGGCCCATTGCTCTGTCCAGTCCTGCGTGTCTGTGCCATGATGGCTGGAGATGATTGGCTCCCAGACCGCACACACGGTAGAAACGCCACGCTACACGGTCACAAGCCGGCCGCCGGGGATTAAAGGGACAGAAAGAAGAGTCTTACCGGCTGGTGAGGGAGAGCGACAGTTTTGAAGTTTAAGTGTGACCTGAAGCCAACAAATGACAAACTGTGTTTTACAGTGGTGGAATGTAAAGCCCCAGCACAGTCGAGACCCCAAGGACAGGTGTGTTCCCCTCACTGCCCAATTAAAGCTCTGCATGTCGCAGTAGGAAAGGCTCAGGTTTAAATCATAAAATGAATGTTGGTGAAATTTTATTTCTCTGTCCTGGTATTGTGTGTTTACTGTCACAGGTTACTGGGATACTTGAATAAGTCAGAGCCTTTGGTTAGGTTAAAGGTCCCATGTCATGCTTTTCCGGTTATTAATTGTCCCCTTGTGTGTTATGTAGCTTTTTATGCATGTAAATGGTCTGCAGAGTCAAAAACCCTCAAAGTACACCCTGTAGCGAATAAAACTCTAACACAGAAAAGACAGGGCAGGAGCTCCAACAAGGCGTTTAGGACAGAGAGTGAATACACATACTATACAGAGATGCTGTATGAGAAACCAATGTGAGTTTGGAAAATTCCACAATGTAAATCTATTCTAGTGGACCTCAACAATGGAATTATGATCAGTGGAAATAGCCATGACATTGTCCTTCTCGGATGTACTATCACATTAGCCTTTCACTCAATGCCTCGCACTCCGCTCAGAGAAAGGATGAGATGCCACCAATCTGGCCTGGGTTAACATCGGAACTGTAAGCAGTCCATGACAGCAATGCCACATTCTGTAGTCTGTTAATCTATGCTGTACAAGTCTACTGATGACTTTTGCATTTACAAAGAAACGGAATAACCATAAACACCTACTAATACCACCCAACTATGTGCAATATATATATATATATATATAGATATATATGCCGTTAATAACTGTCTAATATATACCTGGCTGCTAAATCCTCAGAACTGTTACAGGATGTGTATTTTGTAAATTGTGTTACTTTTAATTTAATTTTCTATTTCTTTTTACTTTAATACTTTTTTATGCATGCTTCTACGTAACATGCATAGTCTTTGGCTCTTTTCTGCTGTAACAACGTACATTTCCCCTCTGTGGGACTCATAAAGGTATTCTGATTAATACATGCATGATGTGTGTGCAAGACTTTTAGGCACAACTCTGAGGTAATTTGAGTATGTACATGTTATGCTTTTAACAATGTATCGATGTAAACGTCACACTTGGTCAGTGTGTTAGTACCAATGGAAGTGCAGTGTCAACAGTGAAGTTGTTTAGATGAGCAATTCCGAAAAAAGCTTCAAGCATCAATACCAGAAGCCGAGCAATCGTCAACAATAATTATTGATACAATAAATACGAATCTGAATATAACGGGGGCGTGTTGCATACATAGGTTGCATACTGAGAAAGTTTATCTCGATGATGAAATTAAGTAAGCTTTACTTTGAAGTAAATGTTAAATCATTTGTATTATTTTACTTTGATTGCCCATATTTTGATGTAGTTGGTCTGTACTTTGTTTATGTAAATAAATGAAGCATTAACGGATTTAAAAAGGCATGGTTGATGGATGGAAAATCACACTAAGTGTAATGTTAGGGTGGCACGTTGAGGTCCTGAGCACACTAACGTTACACGAATTTTGAAGGGAAACAGATGAAGGGAACGTGCCCTGTAACTGGAGTTAGCTTGGTGGTGGCTACATGCTAACGAGCTAGCAAATGAACTGAAGCGAACGTTAGCTTTGATTGAAGGAAGATGCTGTTAAGTGATTTACTGTCGCTTTACTGACGCTAAACCACAGATCCATCCGAAAAACTATCGCCATATAATTCCCTGTGTCTAGTTACTGCCACATGTCTGCTTATAACATGTGTCCCTCCTGTCTGCCCACGTGTTTATAAGCAGCACAGTAGCCGGTCGGATGTAAACAAGGCAGCACTTCCGTCACAATCAAGAATGAAAGATCAAAACTCAACCGAAATAAAGCCTTCACAATCAACCCAATCACTCTGTCTGTATTTTATTGAAGTCAGTAAACATTAGCTCACCTTATTCCAACCGAATGGAGAGGTTACAGCAGTCCTGATCCAGTTTCCACACACAGGGAGACAAGCAAACCACTTCCGGGTGTCAGAGGAAAATGTGTTGGCCGACCGTAACGTTTCACTGCGTCCTTCTGAATATTGTGGAAATGTTAAAGACTATCGTGAACGGTTGTTATAGCAACACATCGTCAGCAAAAATATTGTATATTTAAATTAAAGTATAAATGAAACAATTCTGACTAGAAAAAAGGTAGTGGCATAAGCCAAGAAACCCATTGAGTTATGTAAAAATAAAAGGGAAAATACACATTATTTCTCTATGTTTTTTAACTTTGCAAGATGGTCTGCACCTGTCAAGCTTTTTATTTTTATTGTATGTGTTTCTGTTGTTTAAACGTGTTTGTCAAAGTCAATTTAAAAGCCTCAGAAGACCATAACAACTTATAATAGGTAACTGTAAGTGATAGAGCAGGGGTGTCCACACTTTTTTCACTGAGGGCCACATACAGAAAAACGTACATAGGGCTGGGCAACTCACTCGAGGTAAGGTATATTGCCTCATAAATTAAAGATGTAAGTGCAAACTCAATCAAATGGAGGTAAATTATGCTTGATATATGAATATGCTTTAAGAAAAAAAATAAACAGCCTATATCATAGCTTTCCAAAGGGTTTCATTTATTTTGTTACAAAAAGTGTCTGAGCTCATTCCTTAAAACAGAAGCCTCAGATTGCTTCTCAATCTCTCTTCACAGCCCTGTGTAAAGGGAAGACAATAAGGAGAAATATAAAGGGGATATGCCAAGGTTGTTGTGCAAATAAATTATTGGGCTTTTTCTTATCAACTAAGATTTGTTCGACAATGTTTTCAACTTTAATTGACTGAACTGACTGGCCATATTCCATTATACTTTTACAAACATGCACACACATGCTATGGACCGTAGTTTCAGTTTGGACACCCCATTGATAGAGGGTCAATTGCACTTCAAAGGATTCACATAACTTCAAACCAGTTTTTCTCAGTTATATATATTATATTCTTAAACAGACTTAGTGTTTCTCTGCCATTCTTGTAAATCTGGTTGTCGTAGTATTATCCCCATATCGAGACAAATTGCAATATAATTCCTATATCCTGATCATAAAAGAAGCATATCGTTTTGCTGTGATGTGGAGTTATTCTAAAATTATAGGATTACAAAACAGTTTTATTGTAAGGATGTTTGGACCACTGTGATCCAATATATTCATTAAAAGCTGTAAAGTTAAGAAATTAATTTGGGCCTAGTTCTTTTGACCATAGAAATTGAAGTTCACAATCCCTCTTGACATCATTGGGTTATTTGGTCGTCTATAAGGCAAATGTATAATAATATAGTTGTTGTCCTTGTTCTGTAGTATTTTTGTTGTTTGCTAGTTGTAAAGGCTTCTTTTTTTATCTCTAGGCTCAGTCCTTATAAACCATCATATGAATGCATTGGTTTAGGTCTTAAACAAATAAAAATCCTGCAAGTACTGAACTGTAAAAAAAGCGGATCCAAAGGGTTCGGTGGCCAAAGGGTTGCATGCTGACCATGTGGTCATGGCATGCCTGGTCCAAGTTTCTAGACACATTTCCTGTTGTCTCTCTACACTGCTGCATGAAATGCCTGAAAAAAAGGGGATCTGAAAACCATGGGTGCTACAGTTAGGACAAATATTATCACCTTATTGTTGCACACATTTTATGCAAAAAAAAAACTCAGACTACATTATTGTTAAATGACACTCTGATTTTAAAATGTCATTATTTAAGATTATGTGTAATTGTAAACTGGGCTGCTTTACTTCAAAGGCATCATATCTCTTTCTGCAGACAAAAGATCCAGCAGGGCCCAACACTGTTTTTCACAGAATGGACTATTGTCAGCCTGATGGATGCTAGGCATTTTCCTCACCTTCCTCAATAAGGCACACATATTAACTATGAAATGTCAGAATATGTGCATGTATGAGTGACTAGTATGGACCTTCAGGCTTGTGCTATTATTACATGTTGATGGGAATGTAAATCTATATGTAAATGTAATTTAACAGACTGGCTATCGCCATCAGTCATATTTATAACTCAAAGAATACAGCAAAATTATGCCATCCTGGCTCTCATGCAGACTGTGTAACATTAACATCCATCTTGTCCTTCCTTCCATATCATGAGAATAATTTTGAACTCAGTGTATCCAACTATAGGCATCGCCATCATAATAACAGTGAGTGAACAGCGTTATGATAGGGAATCAGAGGGTGAATGCCATCTGATTCAAAAGGTTTCTCCATGCGTGTCAACACAGGAAAGGCCATCATAGAGTTGGATTGTTGCCTTCCAAAGGTTAGTCTGCACCTCATGTCACAACACTATCATCCCTTTTAGCCAATGTATACACCTGACACACACACACCCCACAAACACACTTAAAATCCTGCATCTGTTTTGTTTTTTGGGAAGTGCATATGGGGGCCATCTGACTCCTCTGCGCCACATATCTCTCTAAATTGGATGCAGGTTCGGGATGCCTCACTGACTCAGTGAAATTGTGATGTGGCTGCCTGATTTTGGGTTCCATGCATTTGGTGGTATTTACTATTATTATTTTAAAAAAGGTAGAAGAGAATGGCTGAGTGGAGGCAACTGGTTCAGCGATTCATCTCAGGGCGTACAGACCACTGGCGTGTTAAAGATGAATGGAGTGTCCTGGACAAGGATTTGAAGTCTGCAGATTTCCAATCACACATTCCAGGGGGATGGTTCTGCCTGATGAATGATCTTTATTGAGGAGAAGGAGTTAAAAGAAGCATGTCATTGCTCTCATTTGATGGTGTTTGTATGTGCTATGGAGGCTCCTACTTTCATTTGGCGCCAGACGCAGTAGCCAACACTTTTGATGGAGTGGTTTATCAAACAGGAATCTCGTCAGCTGCTTTTGTGTATTGCCAATATTCTGCAGCTGATGGTCATTTGTGTACAAATGTATTTCTCTGAAGACAAAAAATGCCCCAAATGTGTCCTAAACACTGCTATTGCTTGGATGTGTCAGTTTGATGAAACACTCATGAGAGGATTTTACAAAACAACAATTCAGGACAACACATTGTTTGCTTTGGTACATTATGCAAGGAGTGCATTTTGAAAAAACAAAAAGCAAATGTCCCTTACTGTTGTTTGGGAAATAACAACTTACATTTGAAACAATAGGTTCATTAATACCTCTTTTTAAAGCCCTCTTACATTATTTTGATTATTGGTTTAACTGATGTCACCTTCTCAAATGTGAATATTTTCTCTAGTAAAATAAATCTTTTGGTATTTTGACCTGTTGGTCAGATAAAATATATAAATTGTTCAAACAAGTCATGAAGTGAAGTGTGGCATCTTCTCAGTTTAAGGTGATGTGAGTTAATCTCAATAAAAGTGCCTCTTCTCTGCTATTGGTGCAGGCGTTCTTGTTACTGTATGCATGTAAATACAACCAGCCAGCCTGTATCAAAGCGGCCAGGCACATGGAATTCTCCCGGGAAAAAAAAGACTAGCCCTGGATCAGCGCTCCTGAACAAAAATGGCTCCCATGCATCACCCGTATGGGGGCCTCTGTGCTGCAGTCATTCACATACAGCGGATGTACAGCATTTGTGAACCTAAAGCCCATTTTAGTTTTCTTTCACTGCAACACCAGCTCTGTTGTTTCAATCCAGTGAAAGTTTGATCTTTCCTATCACGTTAACTTTGGTGTTATATTTTTATGAATTCTTAGCATCAAATAGCTTTGCGGGATAAGAAACTGGTGGTGTAGAGAGATTCAGTATATTTTTGAGTTAATATGCCAACTAGAGCATGTACTAATCAGTGGCAAAGCTCATGCAGGAAGAAACAAATGATAAAACACAGCCGGAGGGGAATGACGAATTGTCACAGGGGCATAGCCTAAAATTCTGTGTAACAGAATATTTCTGTGGTTTCTCAGTCATTTTTAAGATATTCAAAATTGAGTGGAACCCATCTCTGGAAAGTAATGTAACACAATCCTACTTTTGACGTTTCCTCAATTTAACATGCCAAACAGTTGGCAACCATCGTCTTAGAGCCCTAAGGAACCAGGACGCCCAACAGTTCATGTATTTTGGTCTAATTTGTTATAGTAAGAAACATTTAGTCTTGTGCAAAATGTCTTGTTGTTGGCCCCTGCTGGGTGTGTCTGACAGTCACATTTTTTTACTTTTTCAAACTAAATTAATTGCCAGTACCTGCCAAACACACACACACACACACACACACACACACACACACACACACACACACACACACACACACACACACACACACACACACACACACACACACACACACACCTTTGATCAACAGTCTGTCAGCGCTTTCAGCAGGAAAAGACTATTCTGACAACACCTTTTCAGACCGGACCAAGTGACTTGTGTCTATGGGGATTACATTTGAGAACAGAAGCTCTGTACACTCTCACATGCACACACACGCACACCACATCGCCACACGATGCCACAACACCTCTTTCTCAGCCGCGGTTATAACACCACATTGACAGGAGCCTTGTCCTCTCTTGTCGAATCGTCACGCTGAAATGTTTACCTTTACATACAAATGGCCTGGTGTCATGTTGTGTCACATAATGTTTCATGGACAAATAATGTGTCCCATTTCTCAATCCGCCCTGCAGCCCTTAAGCCCCCTTCTAGCCTTAATAGTCACAACAGCAACAACCATGGCTGCAGAAAGGGAACCTTGTGTCCCCACAGTGAAGTGCCACTCTGAATTAAATCCCAGGGATATAAAGGTAAACTCAATCTGAACAGCGGCTCGTTTTGGAGAATACGATGGCAAATACATGAGCATCATGGGATGTTGATATCATAGTATTTTTAGTTTAGGTTTAGGTTTTGTACAGAAATGACAAAGTCAAAGTGGTGACATGATACCCGCAGGAGTAATGTTCAGGCCGTGCAGGATTTGCTTCGAGTTGGGAACACTAAACCTTCACCTGGACTTTCTGGGTGGTAAATTAGTTCGTCTGGAAGTAACAATTCATAGGCTTTACAATAAAGAGAATGCAGAACTGATATAGCATCAACATTAAGAGCTACAAAACAGAAGAAAAAAAAAACAACAAATAAAAGACTTAATAAAAGTATTAGTAGCAAGATAGAGTGAAAATGTTGTGAGATTTGGATTTATTTTATTTTTGAAACAAGTAAATGTATTCAGTTTTTAGAGGAAAAGCCAATGTACTCCAGTGTTCTCCATTTAGTTTAGTACTTAAGTACAATTTGTAGGTCACGTGGGCTACTTTTGCTTTTTAAATCTATCTTTTCTGCTACTTCTGCTCTCCCATAATTCATAGGTAATAATTGAACTTCTTACTCCACACATTTTTCTTGACAGTAAGTTATGTTGCACACAATCTTAAAATTAGATTGTTTTAAATAGGTCCACTAAAGCAACTAGAACAAACCATTTTAAGTAAAATACAATTTTAATATAAAAAAATAAAAATAGCCCACATTATAATAAAAGGGGGCATTTATACATAATGAGTGCCCAAATAAATATTTAGCTGATTTATGTACTTTAAAATATGATTTTGAAGACAGGACTTTTACTTGTAATTCAATATTTTTAGATTGTGTTAGCCTACTGCGGTAAAAGCTTAATAAGTACATTTTATGAGCAGCAGAAAAACAGACAGAGCGTTCATGCAGATGTCATTATTCATTAACACACTGAATGCATTGTCTCTCTGTAACAAATTGGATTCAGGACAGTCGTGCTGCAGTTTACCCAAAATGTAAACGCTGTGGTGAGGGCCAAAAAGTCCCAGAGACCCTGAGCCTCTCCTCCTGTGTTTACGTGTTTACTTATTGTTCTAATCGTCCCTTTAGTTCTTCTTTCTCGCGCTTTAATGCGATTCTTTCCGGTTCCGCTCGGTGAGAGCGCGGGTCACCGATCCAACTGCACCCCCCCTCAGATTAATTACATTAATTAGCACGGGGGAGAAAAACAAACAAGTCATGATTAATATCGAAACTATGGCGAATTCTTTGAGGAGATTCTCTATAAGCAAACCAAATTTCGAGCGACACCTCCCTGAGGCTGCAGGAAACAAACAAGGCAAGGTTAGAAAAACTATTCAGGGTATAAAATAAAAATAAAGCAAAATTAGTATCGAGGACTTTGTAAAGACTTTGCTGTGTAGAGTTTAAGATCCTATAAGATTATATTTCGGCTTACTAAGTCTCAAAATAGGCAACTAATGTGTACATATTTTGTTAAAAACATTTAAAACAATATATAATAATCATCGTTAATGATGATTACTAATGTTGCACCCGCATGAGCAATATTATGAGTTTTTTTATCAAAATCATTACAGCTTCCAAAAATATAAATAAAAGTAAGTATAATTTTCATATTTACACCAGGTATCAGGTTGAGCTCAATTAAATATCCTTTATTAATCGAATTTCCCTCAAAATGTGTTTATAAATGACGAATTTAATTTGGTATGTCTTCTTCCTCTTGTTGTCCCTAATTATGGGTATAGCAAATTATTTGGGTAACCCAAATGAAAAGTGGCAGAATATGATAACTAGGTTTCTTCAAATGGCTCAATAGCAGATAATTGTACAGTCTTTTCTGCGAGCTCGCACGTTTAGGAAGCGCACTGAATAATCCGCTGCCATGGCCATGCATACAGATTCAACTTTTGGGCCTGTAAAAAAGATAAGGATGAGGCAAGTCTTCCGAGGACTCAAGATCCTTTCCCCCTGAAGGAAAGAGAGCAGAGAGTTATAAGCTATAACTCTGTGGTAATACATTTTTAGCAATAAAATAAGTGACAGCAGGAAGTTATAAGTAGTAACACAAATGTTTGTATGGTAGAAAGTCGGTTTTAAAAGGATTTAGTTTGTTACTGGATGGTTTACACTCCCACTATAAATAACTTTCACAAATTATTATTTTCCTGAAATCAGTGTATAATGTATTTATATGTGGCGGCCTGTTTCTCCACCTGAAGGTCAGAGACGAACCTGCTTTGTGTCTCTCGCCATTTCATGGTAACATTAGTATTTATGTTTTGATGTTATGAGCGCGAGTCGAAGGTCAGGGTCGTAGTGTTGCAGCGCGAGGCGACAAGCAGAGCAAAATGGGTCGCTGTCTCGCGCTTTGTTCAACACTCAATTGTCTCGGGGCTGCGCGTGAACCCTGAGACCTGCGGCTGTCTGGAGGACAGAAATCAAACGGAGGGAGGGAAAATGTTGACACCGAATAAAGATACACAGCAAACATTTTTGTTAACTCTTAATGAATATCTCTTGCTTTTGTGTCGATCAGGTGGAATCAGTGGGGAAATATTTAATGTTGTTTATTATTTCTGTTTAAGTGACAGAAGTATTACAGCCAGTGGCCTTTTATAAACATACGATTTGATTTAATTTGTCATGAGCTGTATACTTTTTTCACCTTTTGTGTTACCAGCTTTAGATGATTAACCTGTTATCCTTTTGAAGGAAAAAAATATATTTTTGGTCTATAATCTGACAACCTCTTACTTCCGGTTTAGGCTGAGTGTCTCAATATAGCTGGACGCACTCAGGCCGAACTATTATAATTTAATTCCAAAAAACGATTTCCGATATATCTTCTGCTTTTATTTCAATCTGGAATGTGAAAATAATCCTTATCACAAGTTTTCAACCTGTTCTTCAGTTTTAATTGCTTTTTTTTTTTTTTTAATGTATCTATGTTTGTGTGAGAGACGGGGCATTTGGTACATTGAGGTGTGAAAGAGACATGAACACGATTTGATTTTTTTTTTGGTATGTAGGAAGGGCTTTCCTGTCTTGTTTTAGAGGGATTATAAAACCAGAAATGCCCTGCAGTGCAGGCAGTCTGCTGGAGTTAAACTCTCTCAGTGGGTGCAAACTTGTTTGGTATACTGTTGTAAATGTATTATCTCTTCGATTTACACACGGCATCTATTGCACGTCTGTCCGTCCTGGGAGATCCCTCCTCTGTTTATCTGTCTGAGGTTTCTCCCATTTCCCCCTTTAAACTGTGGTTTCTTTGGAAGTTCTTCCTTGAGGGTCTAAGGACAGAGGGTGTCGTATTGTCATATATTCTGTAACTGTGAAGTCCACTGAGACAAATGTAACATTTGTGATATTGGGCTATATAAATAAACATTGATTGATTGATTGATTGATTGAAACTGAATGTAAACTGTTCTAAAATGTTTCTTTTATAAAACGAAAGAGCCTAGAGCACACATGTTAAGAACATGGATCGCTATCATGTTTAGCAAGAGAACAAACTTCTCCATGAGAGCTAAAAAAACGGTTCGAATGAGCTGAAATTTCAATTTGGCATATTATTATTTCAATGAAATGTTGTGCGTCTGCAGGTGTGTGTTCACAAACAATTGGAGCTGAGGACCAGAACCATGCTTTTTTGTAAGAAACACTCTAACACAGCACATGCAGGTGTAGCAGACTGCATTGTCCAACAGCAGACCGGTGAAGCTGAAGGTGTAGCTCTGTATTCCACCTGCTCAACAGACTTTCAGTCCGTGCGTAATGCGTAAAGAGCACCGTGCGTAACAGGTGTAAACCGGCACAGAAAGAAGTTTGCACAAACTCTCATAAACGCTGTTTTGGAAGTTGCTGAAGGTGCACTTGACTACATACACGTAAAAAACTACTTTATCTTGTTCTACAGCTAATAAAACAATACAAAACTGCATTGCCATCACGCACATCATGCATACCTGTATAGCTAGCTTGTGTCCCAGAGGAAATGTATCAAACATAAAAGAAGGGGAGAGAAAGAAAGAAAGAGGGAGAGAAGGGCGGGGGCGGGAAAGTTTAGTAAAGTGGAACTTGGTAACAGATGCGAGAAAGGGGGCCGCGGCACTGCAGGGATGGGTGGAGGTTAGCCTATTTTGTGTGTATGTATGCTCGGCCGTGCGGGTGCGCGTGTGTTAATACGTGCACATTAACGAGTGTGTGTGTGTGCAAGCTCGTGCGGGAAAAGGACAGGACATGAGCGCACATTGAGAGAGCGGCTCTTTTACTCTGCGTGATCATTTCACGCTTCCCCCAGAAGCCTTTTTTCCACCTAAAGCGTTTAGTTGCAGCTGACTGAGCACTTGCAGAGAGTGCAATAGGGAGCGGAAGGGTCGAATTATTTCAACCTACAACTCGCCCCAAAAGTACTGTAGGAGAAGAAAAAAAGAGAGTGAGAGAAAAAACACTGCCCTAGAGAGGGAGAGAGAGGGGGGGAAGAGAGGGACACTGGAAAAAAGTTTTGTTCTTTTCCTTTTTTTTTTCTTCTCCTCTCATCGCCTCCCCCTGTTCTACCCGGAGATCATGGAGCAGGGCCCCACGAGTCCTGTACTGCGGCTGGAGAGAACAGGTAGGCTCGCACCGGCTCTCTAGAGCTTAACTTCACTTTTATGAGCGGTTGATGCTAACTTTTTTAAAGTGAAAGACTTTTCGTCTTGTTTGTTATTTTTTGTGTTTTTTTTACTCAAGTGACAGTTTTAAATAGAAGTTGTGGAAGTCATTTGTTGCAATTAATGTATAGTTAGTTAGTTGTCCTCATGAGTTAGAAGTATTACAAAGTGTTCTTAACTATTCCTGTATGGCAGAATAATAGGGAAAACTTATTTTTAAGTAGCCTATAGTTGTCTATGCACTAATCAAAAAATGTTTTATCTCAAGTTTGTGACTTTATGAGTTTCTGGAAACGTGTTGCTGTCTTGAAAAAAATCTTAAATTAAAATAAAATTTGTCTAGAGACTTTTGCAGTTTAGAATATATAGTTGTGTTATCTTATGAATAATGAGAGTCATTGCTTTTTGTAATCATTACCTTTTTATTTTATTTGCAACTTGTGGCGCTGTGGAGAAACACAAGTGGCTGAAGTTATTGGTTTGGTTCGGCAACATTCTTCGTCAGGTCAGCCCCACGTGTTGGTTTGTGCACCATCACCTGAGGGGGATACATTGATTGGTCCTTATGATAAAAAAGCATTGTCAATGTGTGCAAGATTGTGTGTTTTTGGCACGAGCATGCAGTGTAAACGATATGTCATATTCTTAACATATCTATCAAATTCCGTTCAATAAACTTTATGTTAAAAGTCTAATGAGCAGTGTGACTTTGAGATGACAATCGATAGAAAGTTTGTTGTTTATGTTTTCGTTTTTGTGGACAAAAAGTTGTAGTTGCATTCCGAATCAGTCCAAACACTCTCTAAAAGAGTCTTGTTTTTTTCTGCGTGTCTCCATTACATTATTCAACAGGTTCATCTCGTTTGGGCCTATTCATAAAACAGCAGGGTCTGGTACAGCAATGGATCAGGCCATCGACCTTGTTATGGCACCCAATGGATATCACATCATTTCATATTGCTGCCCGCTGTGTCTGCATTGATAAAACATATTTTTTCATTAAGAAACGGTGGGCAGTGATCCTCCCTCTAAGGGCAATGTACTTCGTGGAAAGCCCTTTCTACAGAAAAGCCAAACAATCTGCTTTTGTGATGCCGCTGCTGCCTTATAAGTAATGCATGTAGATGTTAAAAACGAGCATGTTTTTTTTTATTGAGGGGCCACCTGAATCTTGTGTTGCTTTTCATACTGATTATTACAATATAGTGACAAGAAAGTGTGTTGTAATTCTGACACGTCCTATAATAATATAAATAAATTAGCTCGTGCCCTGCCTTCTATGGAAATGTGTCATCAAATAATGCCCATGGTCTGTAAGACAAATAATGCCCCCTTTGCAGTCTTTTGTGGAGTGGGCCTTACCCCTGGTAAACGGTGAAAGCAATGGGATTTGTAGCAATTGGATAATAACCTTTTAACCACTGAGGAAATCAGAGTTTAAAGGAGGCCCTCCCCTGTTGGGGTGTAAAGTCTTAAGGGCCCCGGGCCTATACCTACAGCCTCTCCATTTCCTCTCACTTGAAGATACGTGCCTGGGGTACAAAGCAGGATCTGTTAGAATGAACATGGATCCAATGAGACCGCTCTCTTTTCCCGCCCCGTAGGTTGGCCGTGCGTAAAAGTGCGCATAGGCCGTCTCCTTTTAATAAGAGGGCCGCCATTTCAGTCCCTGTCTGGCGACATGTGGGGCAGACGCTGACGTTAAATTATTATTTTACTAATGATTAAAATTAGACCTAGGCGGTGCATTTACTTTTCTAGTTTTCTAGAAATATTTGATTCTTGACCCTCGTTGGATTTCAATATACGCCTTCCTAATATATACTAATGTCCTTTCTTCATTACAAAATAAAACCCACACAGGCAAATTGGATACCCTGACGCTAAAGTACTGTCAGAGTCTCACTGAGACACCATTTAAGTTCCAGCCTTGGTGCACATATAACCGGAACATTGTGTGTGTGCATCCTTGCATCTTTAGGACCAAACAGCGAATCCGTGGCACCAGACCTCTTGACATATGCTTCATACGTTTCCAATTCAGTATAAAGTCGCAAAACGTATATTACTCAGACATCACAAGCAGTATGTCTGAGGTACAAGCTTTGTGATGTTAAGGAAACCAATAAATTCATGCAATAGAGATAGCTTGAAGACTGAGGGGAGTATGAGGGGAGGGAGGGGAGAAAGATGGAGAGATGACCTCACATGGCATACTTTCGTTTTGACCTCAAGTGCCCCATCCTAACACAGGAAAAAGGTCTGATATTATGGACAGCAGGGCCTTGTTCTCCACGTGACAGATCACAGCCTAGTATTTACTTGCTTATCATCGAGCGAAATGATTACACCAAGTCCGTTTGATCAGGCCTGAGAGAAGCAGCGAGGTTCACCTGGTCCGAACACAGCCAGGTTCCACATCCGGAAGTCCAGGACGGTTACTCTTCATGCAGTCCATGTAGGCCTACTTTATTTATTAGTGATGACTTTTTATATTTTATTAGCAAATGAAAACTTAAGAAGAGATACGGGAGCTTTCTCATTATGTTTACAGTCAGCGGGCGTGTAATAAACGAGCTGGTGGAGTTAACATGCGCTATTAATTTTTCATTGCTTTTTCGTTTCGAGGCTCGGGCGCAAAAAGCAAAACAGCCGAAGCTTTCATGGTGGATGGAGGGAAGGGGAGGAAAGGAAAGAGAGAGGGAACACTTAAACAACAACATTGCCTCCAATTTGCCTTCAAATGATTATCACAACTCAACCACATTCTTACTGATGTTTTAAAAAGTATACACCCCCCCTCCTTCCCTCCCATTTCCAACAGTGGAGAGGTAATGAAATATGGTAATGAGTTGGACCCCCGGATTAAAGTCGTTTTACCCTGATGGAAGTTTTCTCCAAATGTTCAACCCTAAAGCAACAACAATTTGTATACATGATTGATTGTGTTTGGGTTTTTTAATTGCTTATGTATTTAATTTGCAAATCGGAGAGACAAGGGCGCGGCTGCAGTTTACTTCTGTGGGGAGAAAAGCGCTCGTTCTATATCTCAATAAATAAAAACAGACTCTGGCTGCAGAGGGAGAATGAAAAAAAAAAGAATACGAAAAATATTAAATATTAAATAGGTTGAAGAACTCTAGACCCAAATACTCTGTCAATACAAAACATAGCCTATATGTATATGTATTGATGTACAGTATATCTGGAAAAGGAAAATACACACTTAAGAAATAAAATTGGTAAAGAAAATAGCCAACAGATTTCCCAGTTTGCCGATTATATTTTTGCAGCAGTATCTTGTCACGATCTGACTGCTTTTTTCGTTATTTATGGCCTAAATGGACATGGTCTTTGGTGCATGTTCCAAAATATCTAATTTTGTAAAGGTTACTGTATTCTGGTCTATTTCTAATTTTTTTTATTATTAAAATTCAAACAGTCAAACTAGTCATTTGCTGTCTCAGATTTGTGGGCCCCTCTAATTCATGAATCTCCAGAGATGTGAAATATGAATGAGGATTAGTGTGTACTTCACTGTCAGTGGATTATAAAGCAGGGACGTGGAATCGATGAAGATTTATGAAAACATACTAAGGGTTGTACATCTTGGTAATGGAAAAATAATGTCATATTTTGTCTAACAGATCACAATCAAACAGTGATCCCTTATATGAAGGCCTGGATGTTTAACATTGTCTGTCAGTTTAGAGCCCCAATCGACTGTTTAAGTACAAATGGGTTGATTGTAAAGTTCGTGTCTTGCTTTTGCGCGTGGGTATATCTCTGTGCACGCACGAGCACATTGCCCAAGGTTAAACGCCCCCTCGTGGTTCATCTTGTACACAGCCCAACACAGAAGCCTCCGAAAGAAAGCAGAACCAAAAGAAAAATCAAATTTTGACATGCATTTAAACAGAAAATAATACCTGACAAACATTTGTTTTTTTAATAAGGAAAACCTGAGTGTTCAAGCACACTGCAGAGTAGTCCATGGGGTAGAAATCCACGTAATCAAAATAAGCTATATATATAACCAATCATTCAAATCAGGAAATCTACGAATAAACAACATCATAAATGAAATAGACTCAATTATATCATACACTGACCTTTTCAGTATCAGATGAATTACCTTGAGTTACATCAAACATGTACGTCCTATGAGGATACCTGCAAACTATAAGAACAAGATACATATTGTTATTGTTGTTTTTAGTGAGTAACTTGAATGATCCGCTTCCTGTGGTATTACCGGTGTCTTTGATTTGAATATATAGAATAATTGTGTATAGATACATGTTTTCTAAATTAATGTTTATGCGTACAGTATTAACACCGAGGAACTGAAATGATTAAATGTCTAGAAACAGGAAAAAGGGAAATAACACTTTTTAATTTGGCTCATGCTTTAGGCTATTTGTGTGTTTAATATTACAGGGGCGATGCTTTATGCCCTCTCAAATCAGGTGGGACGAAGATGTAATAAGTCCTTCTCTCTCTCTCAGTTTGGAGTGTAAATGCGGAGCTCGCCAATTGCATTTCATTAAAAACGACATCCTTTTGGATCCGCAATCAATTAGGTAATGAGTGGGAATGTATGTTTCGTGTGTTGTCTCCAAAACTCCCCAAGCTAAAGATTTATAACATTGTGTAAAATAATGGAACATTATGCAGAAGCCTTTGTTTTCACAACTCTCACTCCTGTATAGGTTGAAGGACAATAAAAGCTGGTTTTCGAGGTGAATTTCAATTTAAATGTGTTTTCCGGAAATGCTGATGGCCTTTAAAACCTGTCTTTCTGCTCTCATGTATTCTTTCCCCTTATTCCTCCTTTATACCTATAGTAGGCTTAGGCTACATAAAGATGAACAGTTACAGTTTGAGTTCCTGGGCATTATAAAGCCTTGCTGCAACTAAGCCTGATTTTTTTAGTAATACTCAATTAATTAGCCATTTA